ACCTCCGCCGTTGGAAATATGCCTGATCGTTGTCCGGCAAGATGGCCTCGACCAAGGTGCCAGGCGTTGGCTCCCTCCTGTCATCCAGGTATTCGTCGAGGCGTATTCTTGGGTAGTATGCTCTCATGTTTACTGAGCTTCTGGTTGATTTGTGTCTAAGTAACTTTTGATTGTTCTTCGCCACTTCGGTCCGGTTTTATAAGTTCTTCATTGCTTCTCCCTCTCTGCTCTCGTTGGTCGAAGTTTCTTTGTCGTTAGTGCTGACAGGTGAAAAACGGTTGCTACCGGCGACTCCTGGTCAGTGTACTTCTATTGTCTTACGTGGTCCTTGTTGAGTTCGTGCATTTCCAACGATGAAAGTGGGGTGAGGGATGTCACTACGGGCGGCGTCGGTGCTGACATGATTGTTCTTAGGAGTGTGGGTCTCTCAGGTCCCCTGATGCATCTTCGTCTTTTTTATCTTTTATACCAGAATATACTGATTGTGGAAATTATGGCAACTACTATTATTCCCGTTGTTACAGAGGTCCCCTTTATTCCATATGTTATTATATTTTGAACTCTTTCATGCGCGGCTAAGATTTTGGTTTTTTTCTCGATATTTTTCAAAGCGATGGTGTTTCCTAAGGTTTTGTCGTCGCGGAGGGTTTCCAAGTCCCTTCTTGTTTGATTGATAATGGCCGAAATATGATAGGGTGTTATTGTAGGCATGACGTATGTTATGTTAATGTTTCTCACAGGGTTGTAAGTCTTGTTGATGTGAGACGTAACTGTGTCAGATGCGGTTATAACAGTTGTACCGAACATCGCGTTACAACCCTGACGTCGAGCGAGTATTCCGGCTTCTTTCACGTGTTTTTGCACTATCAACCTATCGTCCTGTAGTTTTTCTGCCGTCTCTACTGAATATAACCAACGATTCGGACTTTCTAAATTTTTGATGTAAGTGGGTCCAATGAAGACAATGTGAACGTTTCATCTAGACCACGAAATTTTGTGCGAGTTTGTCAGTAATTCTGTTTCACAGTTAGGGGTTTCGTCCAGTGATTCGAGGGGGAGAGAGAGATCGCAGATATATTTTTGTGAATATGCTCTGGAGGTATTTAGGTATTGTTGGTTCGCCATGAAGTATTGAGATTTTTCTTCATTTATTGCCAAATGAGGACTGGAAGGTTGTATGATTAGCGGAGAGGATGTCTTAAGGGCGAGCGTTTGACATGAGGGTAAAGGGTGTAGGCGGTATAATTTAAAAGAGGTGAGGTCTAAAAGTGGAATTTCTATTGAAATAATTATTTTAAAGCAATATGTTCAATGTTTAATCATTTTATTACATTATACAAACTGTTACCTTTTATTAAACGATGCAAAAAATATTTATATGTTTCTATGTTTCTTAATATTTTATAATCATTATCTCATTTGGTATTTGGCGAGAAAATGATAATATAATTGTATATAATTTTCTTTAATTTTTATGTAATTATTTAATAATCTCTAATGTCTTACTGCAAAAATAAAAATTTCAAAATTGATTATTAATAATTAATTATATCATTATTAAAAAATTGTTTATATACACTAACTATTTATGTAGTTAATAATTCCTGTGTAATGATTTATCAATCTGCACGTTATACTTCATTGTCACCCAGTATATAACACACCTACCGCCCACGTGACAGAAAGCAAGAAAGTGGGTGAATCGAGGGGTTCGGGAGACCTCTCGTGCTCATTCCAGATTGCGTGAAACAGTCATGGTCTTATTTGGCGTTTAGTATAAGTTCCTCCAAATAATCCGTATAATATAACTCATATATTTAAATTGGTATTATAGAATCGTATAACGTTTGAATTTCCAAAAATCTTATAAAACGTTTCATATAGCATAAGTAATGTCACGATTGACACTAAGTCATATTTTTGTAACTGATTCATTTTGTCTATAATATTAGCCTAAGGCAGATTTTAGAAATTGTTCAAATTCAAAGATTATTATCTTCGAACTAAAAGAGGGGAGGTGTTGGATGACCAACCTACATACGTATAGCTGCTTCAAAGATACAGCGTTAGCCATAAACGTGAAAGTCAACGGGCACGATATTGTGCCCTCGTAAGATCATAAATTAGTTGTAAAACTGCCCCTCTTTCGGTAGCCGAAACTATAATTTGAGACGCTTAAGGGGGAGCCTGCTGTAACGGATTAAAAAATTCGATTTTTTTTTCATAAATCGATAGTAATTGGATATTATAGAAGGTTTATTAACAATATGGTTAAAATTGAAAAGCCGCTAACTACAGTTTTAAAAAAAAATGTGCCTTTTAATTGGGGTTTTGAATGGCAAATTGCTTTTGAAACATTGGGGGATATAATTTTTTCAGAACCAGTATTACAATTTCTTAATTTTTTAGAACCCTTCCTTGTAACTACTGATGCATCAGATTTTGCTATAGGAGCTATTTTAAGTCAAGGTTCCGATAGGAGAGATCTTCTTGTAGCTTATGCATCTAGAAATTGAAACAATGTTAATTATCTAACTGTTGAAAAGGAATTGTTAGCTGTTTTATTTGCAGTCGAATATTTTCGTCCATATTTATATGGTCATAAATTTACTCTAATAACAGATCATAGACCTTTAGTTTAGCGTCATAACGTAAAAGATCCCACATAAAAAATAATGAGATGGAAAATCCGATTAAATGAATACGATTATGATATAGTATATAAACCAGGGAAAACAAATTTAAATGCTGATGCATTATCACGTAATCCAGTAGAGTATATTCATTCAACAGATTATAACGCAAAATCATTGACAGATAATAATACAGACTTGACAGATTCTTGTTCGAAGCGTCTGGAAAAGGTGTTTGTTGCCGTCGACAAATCACCGATTGCAGATTCTGAAATGGAGAGGGATTTTAGTAATAATGAGGATTTGGTGGCATCTATTTTTCTTACGCGTGAGAAAGTAGAGGCAGAGGAATGTGAGGTCATGGACAAATTGCAATGGAATGACAGTGACGATGACAACTACTATACTGCTGACGAAGTCGAGACGCCTCTTCCTCCTATGAGACTAATTCAGGAGTTGAGGATTGTGAGGTTAGATCAACGTAAACGAATTTTGGTTTGTACCAGATATGTCCCGCAATTCCATAGCAACCCCATTTACAAAATAGCTCTAGCTCGTTTTGTCCTGTAAATATATTGTTATTAAAACTTGCTAATCGATTTACCCAATGGTCTAATGTTGATTGCAAAGAGAGTTCTGCACTTGCTTCTGTGATTGTAATTGCACTAGTAGGAGGTACGCAGACATGTTTAGCTTGTAGTTGGGCATAATAGGAGGGATATATCTTGTGCCCTATGCTTAAAGATTTTTTCCGATTTAGTTTATAGGAAAATGATGTACTTCTTGTATCAACATATAATGCCAAAGTCTCATCGGCTGAGTTTGTTTCCGTAAATATTTTAGTTCCTTTGGAAACATTTCGTGTTGCTAACAAAAGTAGCAGCACTTCTTTGGCCTTCTGAACGTAAACCTATTTCTGCAGCAAAAGTTACTTTATTGGCAGAATTTTTTTCTACAATCTTCGTCACTTTACGTTCTCAGTTCTATAAGAACATTCGTCAAAAGATTGAACTGGTCTCCCGCCAGAACAAAAACTTGATGTTGAAGGCATTTCATTAGTGTCAAGTGGATCTTAAAATAAAACAAAATCTTCCCCTCGAAGCCAGTCTTCAAATCTATTTAAAAAATACTCTCGCTGTCCACCACTTTTATCCCAACGATCATTGATTCGGCTTACTATTTTAGATATGTTAGCCTTCATCTTTTGACTAGTTCCATCAGACATATCAACACATCCAATTTTAACAAAAATTTGTTGGCAAAGTTCATTAAATTGAACCTGACTATGAAAAATCTACAAGAAAATGTTTAATATTACCAAATCTGAAGAAGCAATAGATCCTCAATATGAGTATATCAAGAGTTCATTCGTATTATATGTATATGTTTAAAAAAAATATGTTGAAATTACAGTTTCGCTGGAAACTTTTGGCAGCCACTGTACATATGTATATTTGAAATACTTTGTGAGAATGATTTCATTGCCCACGTGTTCGATACAGCGTTATATATGCAGCTACCATCTGTTAAATCACTTTGAACTATTTGTTAGTTCAGAGATGCGCAACAGATTGCTCACGAGCTGAGTAGCTCAAACTTCCCCTCCCAAGGTTATCTGTATTATGTTCCCCAGATTGAGTCGTTCGAGTCGTGGCGGAAAGGTTATTGGTGGGGACACTCCAGCGAGTCAATCTTAGGTTCAAAGTGGGATTTTGCCCTGCGGGCACACGAGTTGAAAGGGTCACAACCGCGGTGACCCCTCGTGCTGCCCGAAGGGCGACAGAACTGGGGGGTAACACTGGGGGTGTCACTCCTGTCGCGGCCAGTTCAAAGAAGGGCACAGTGTCGAGTGGTGACCCCTCGACACTGTCGGAGGAGGCGTAAGGGTGGTTAAAATCCGTCCGTGAGGGGCTTTTCCCCCTATTACGAGGTGTGCTCCTCTCCCTTCTGGGGAGGAGCATGGGCGGGGCCGGCCGTGGAAGTCCTACGACATGTCATACCTGCGGTCGGCCAGGATACAGGAGACCAGGCTCAGCCAACACGTGGGGACGACTGCAGTAGTGTGCGTGCTAGGTACAATCCGTGAAGAACCTGAGGCCTTTGCACTCACGGATTGCCCTACTCGGATCGCGGCTCACACAAGCGCAGTTCCCCTTCCTGCGGCTTTCACCTCCCTAAGTGATCGGCTCACGGCATTTCGAGGTTGAGGGATTTTGAGAGAAAATGGCGCATTATACTACCACGGTAGTAGGGTAAAGTAAAGTAATTACGTCACAACTGTACCTTTAAGTGACGCGCGCGACGCTTGACTTGGCTTGGAGTCGGCGTGGTGATAGGTGAAACTTATCCTGCAAATTTATGACTTACCATTTTGAGCGTTTCTTCCGGTCTGAGCAAGTAGAACATAGATTGCAAGTGCTGTTGAATGTCGCATCCTGCCGTGGACACCTTCCTTGAGGGTATAGCCCTTTCGTTTGGAGGAAGCACTAGGGCCGCACCCTTGCCTGCGAAGTAACATTCGCTCAAACTGTAACATAAAAAAAGAAAAATCTATTAGATAAAAAAACAATCTCAGAGGATTGGTAATTGAGTGAAAGTATCGTGGTACTGTTGGGATTGTGAACATGTAACTGACAATGAGTTTAACACATTTATTGCAGATATGTAACTAACAAGGAAAGGTCCTGGGATGCTACCATCAGATTTTATTAAGCTTGTGTATACTGACAGAGATTGTAATACTGAAGCTAATGATACCCCTTTTTGAGGGTAGACGGTTAATAGTTTATAAGATATTTAACATTAAAGTTTTAAGGGTCCCGTGTATAGTTTATGAAATAAAAACTGAGTACGAAAAAAAACATGAAAAGCTGGTCAATAGACCGCCGTAATCCGAGCTTGGACACCAGAAGGCCATTGGACTGGTAGGCAAGGTACGTTCTTACACTACCATGCATACAGGACCCTTAAAACATTAATGTTAAATATCTTATAAACTACTAACCGTATACGCCCAAAAGGTGATATCATTAGCTTCAGTATTACATTCTCTATCGGAATACAAAAGCTCATTAAAATCTGAGCGTAACACCTCGGAACCGTTCCCCATAAGTTTCATATTTCATCGAAAATAAATGTTTGGACGGCATCTGCTTTTTGTTCTTGTGCTTTCGCTCATCTTAATTCAATAATCACCGCATTTGCAGCTTCTTAATGTAATATTATTATACATGATTCAACTATTTGAAGGGTTAGATGCAAGAACCAGACAACTCAATTGTTATTAATTTTACAGGAACTAAAAAAATTGCTTAAAAAATTAAAAAACGATATACAATATTTCTTCTTGTCAATGTATTATTTGTGGCCTCCTTGTTAATATATACATTCTACTTTGCAGCAAAAGATTATAGCAGTATAAGGGGGTCAAAAGTGCTCTTAAATCGATTCGGACCTATGGTAAACCATTCGATAGATCGTTTAAAAAAAATAACCTGAATAATGTTTCAACCCTCTATCTCAACTAGGAGGGTAGTAACAGGAAATATTCCAATAATGCGGTTTTCCCTGTATTTTTCTTATTTAATCGCATGGAAAAATTTTGAAATCGATTAATTTTATTTGTTTTATGTGCCTTATGTCACGATAGTTTACAATGTACAGTTTTGATTTTCTTTCGTAACAATTTGCAATGTCGATCCGTTCTGTCGATCCGTCGCAATATAAAATTCGGCTGGAAAATGCACGTACGTTTAAGGGGTCATGCTCAGTCAGGAGACCGAAAAAAGAGTGTTCTTTATGAATTTTTTTCTCGAAAACTATAAGATCTTTTTCAAAAAATGTGTTTGTGTTTCAAAGATTGCAGTTTATAGATTATAAGGTAATTTTGTTATTTAAAAATATTTATTAGTAAATAAATGGTGAGCGATCTCCCGGATGTCTCTTCACAAAAAGTGATCTGCCGTGATCACTGTAACTTCGTAACGGTTCATCTGAAATTAAAAATTCAGTAATATTTATGTAATGGAAGAACGAATCTTATCCTTGACTGAAGGATTTTTCGAAATATTGATTAGGAACAAAGTGGCGAACATTTTACTGAAAAAGTACGATTTTCACTTAAAAAATCACTCGTTTTTGGTCAATTAAAAAAGAAAGTATGGAACGAACAAAAAAATCCTTCGTTCAAGGACAAGTTCTCTGATTTTAAATAAGGCGCAAAAGGCTTCATGTAAATCGACACAGTAGTTTTCGACAAATATTGATCACCAATTTGAAAAATGTAGTTTCGAGAAAAACGCGTTTAAAGTTTCAAGTCAAGCTTACACTTATACAAAATGTTCATTTTTTAACGTCTGTAACTCTGTCATTTTTAATTGGATTACCTTGAAACTTGCACAGAATATTCTCGAGATGTTGTACTTAAAGAAAATGTAGAAAGTGAAAAATCGATTTTTTGTAAATTTCTGACTGAGCAGGACCCCTTAAATAAAACTGCATACTCGAGCCAGAAACGTGCAGTGACATTGCACCAGTGATCAGTTAATCAGACGCACATGGCATTTCGTGTACGTGTAAGCTTCCGTTACCGTGCGATACAATAGGAAGTTTCTCTTTCACGAGGATAGCGATTACATGCATGTAACAGGAGAAAAGAGAAACCTGTAAATCTATCTTTGGCGACGCACTCTTTTACAAGCTTCACTATCGAGAGCTGTGACGATTACTTTCACACGATAAGGGTTCAACCGCTGTCACGGAGGGCAATTAACGACACGATCTTGTTAGCAAAGCGATGCAACTTGATTTGTTTGTGGACATTTTGTAGATCTGTCCCGGTGGCCTTATATCCTCCAGTTTACACCCCCCCCCCCCCCCATTTCATTCCCCGAAAACTTAACTCTATATATATATATATATATATATATATACACAGCTTACTATTAACTGGAAGCTTTATTTTCTGTGAATCTGTATGTGTTACTACTGTATTCTTACCACAAAAGAAAACTAAAGGAAAAAATTTTTATTTACGCCGAATTATTACATCGAACGTTTTAAGGGAAGGGACTCCTTCGGGGTCAACTTTGAATCGATAGAAGCACATATCTAAACAAACGGATGCTAGCGAAAACACATATGTAATCAATAACTGGGACGGCTTGCTGATACGATATCTAATGGCAGTACTTGTAAATGAATGTTCTTTCCCGATACTATCAAGTTGAGTTTGAGTATGTATTCTACTACGCGAAGGCATTGTTGCCGGACCGTATCGAGAGTTTTCGTACGCTGTTTCCAGATATCCCCCATTACAATTCTGGCCATCAGGAGAACGATGGAATACTACGGCTCGAGGCGAGATATCGGTTTTTGTCGAACGTAGGAAAAGAACGGCGCGAGCGAAAGAGGTCCGACAATGAAATAATACGTACTACAGAGTCCTCTGGATTATCGTCTCTAACTCGGGTCCGCGAGGGGACGATAATCGTGGACTACGCGAAACGCTTCTGACTAGAGATGGCGTGCAAAATCACTAATGGTGATTCATCACAGTGATCACCGAATCACGATCGCGGTCGTGATTTAACTTCATTTACGACCGTGATTGCGATTTTTTTATATTGAGTGAATTTCCTCACTGCGATAGTAAGTCCTTGATCTTTAAACAGAAAAACGTATTCAATATGATTTTACGATGAATTATTAATATACAATAAATGATACGATAAACATTACTATTTGTGTTTGTAAAAATCAGTAGAAAAAAACAAGAAATTCTAAAAGAATGATTTGCTAGGTAACATGTAGATTATAATTTATAATCATTAATTTATTCATTATTCTCCATTGTTTCTAATTATTCCTTCACTTTATACGATATAACTCGAATTTTTGTTTTGATGTCGTTAATATAAAATATACAGATTATGTGTCGCGTGTAAACAACTGTTATGTTTCTCCACCAATCAGAAACTATCACGAGAAATCACGAATCACTGTGAAAAATCACCGTGATTGGGAACAAACGTGATCGAATCACGAGTGATTCACAAGTAGCAGTTCACGCCATCTCTACTTCTGACCCCCGTGAACACGTTTTTTGCCCGAAGCTCGAGCCTCGGCAATTCGCCTTTGTAGTATTCCGAATGTAGAAAAGGACAAGCCAGTGAAAAACGGAGAGAAAGCTTCTTTTCCAATTCGACTCGGCTGCGTGGCCCGCCTGTGATGCTCTCGCCGACCAATGATTACATTATAGCCGACTACATAGTCCGATTGTGTATGTACCCTTTCGGCCAATAATAAAAATACGTGTGATTGAAGGTGATCGAGCTACATTTTATTCGTCGGCAACTCTCTGGGCAGTCGCTGACGATGGAACACTTCGACTAATCATCGTACATTCCCTCGCTTCGTCCGTCGAGTCAATCAAGCGCATACATTGTTGCCCGGCGCGCTAGACAACGCTAATGCAACGATGAAACTTTTTTATTTTTGATTCGTTGTTAATGAAACTTTTACTAGTATATTGGTGAGATTTTTCTAATTAAAATGATACCAAATATGCCATAATTTGGATCATATTTACTCATGTAGAAACTGTTAATAGTTCATGTTAGTTCATTATGGATTCTGATAAATCATAAGTATAAATATGACCCAAATTGCGTCGTGTTTAGTATCATTTTAATCAGAAAAATCTCATCAATATATTTATAAAAGTTACATTAATAAAGAACCACAAATAAAAAAGTTTTATCGTTGCATTAGTATTGTTTCACTGACACCCGGGAATGTAAACTTTTTGTTGGCTCCCAACGTTCAGTCATCAGCTCATGAACGTGAAGCCGTCTCGGTGCGTTGCGGCAACAAAGTATGTGGTTGCCGAGTTCCACCCCCCCCCCCCCCCGGGGATTGACAATAATCGCATATCAACAAAGAGTCAATAATCGCGAGGACTCTGTAATGTGAGCAACGATAAACCTTTTTCATTCGTGCTTGCAATGGTGCTTAGTTTTCTTAATCAATGCAATTCCCTACGAATTGATAGAGGTGTTATATGTTTACACGTATATTTCATAAGAAGTACGCAAAAAGACCACTGAATAAACAATTTATTCGATGAGAATTTATTCAACAAATAGAGATACTTTGTTTATTCAATGCGCGTTTCATTCGTAGCGTCGAATAAAATTTTCATCTTTTATCTGTATCTTTATTTGAAAGCTTAGGATAAAAGTTCGAATAACTTTTGCCAGTTCGAATAATAGTCCAGTCGTATTAGACTTAGAACAAAAAATGACTAATGGTTGGGGAACATTGTTACAAAAATTCGAAAAGGTATGAAAAACATGCTTTTCGCTTGCAGAATACCTACAAAGTGAGATATAGTACGTTGAAATCGGTGAACGTGCTAAGCCGCAGAAGAATTAAAACTGTCAAAATAGGCTGTTTTTTCGATTGTTTAATACTCGGAGAGATTTGAACATAGAGCTTTGAAATTTTATGAGAATATAGCCCTCCATT